TTCCCCTAATTTATGATACCTAGCAACAACTTGCTTCAAGCACAGCTTTGGGCTTCGTAGGCAAAACGACAGCCAGTATTTGACTCCTCAAATATGAATAAAACAAATACCATTTACTGAGCACCTGCTATGCTGCAGACAGCAAGTTAGGTAATCCCCATACTCATCCTTTGAAATAGGCATAATTCTTTGGAATAGGCATAATTATCCCCATTTTTCAGATATGGAAACCAAGGCTCAGAGAGGTAAGTGACTTTGCCAAGCTTGTGCAGCTAATAAGTGATTTTGGCTGGGACTTTAACCCAATGCTGACTAACCCCAAAGCCTGTGATTTTCTCTCTATAGAATGTTGTCCCACCCCACTCCCTACAAAGGGCAATAAATTATCTAGGGGGCCCAAACCAGTCTCAGGCTCAGAAGAGGCTGTGGGTGGCAATAGGTGTCTCTGCTGAGACATCAGTATTGTGCCTTTGGACTGGGACTTAGACCATTGGCTCTCCTGGTTCTCAGGCCTTTGGGCTTGAACTGGAATTTATACCCCCAGCTTTCCTGAGTCTCCGGCTTACAGATGGCAAGATCATGGGACTTCTCCGCCTGCATAAACATATGAGCAAATTCCTTCTCATAAGTATCTTTATATATATATATTATTCTATTGGTTCTGTTTCTCTGGAGAACCCTGACTAATATAGAACCCTGACTAATACAATCCAAACAGAATTTCTGTACTAAAGCCAGAGAAGAATGTGGGTCCCATGGAACAAGTCAGAAAACGCTTGCAGGAGGCAGAAGAGAATTCTCAGTCTGACCAAGTGTTATTTGGGTGTGGCCTCTTCAAAAAGGAAAATCCCTTCGCACAGTCACTATGGAAAACAGTATGGAGGCCCCTCAAAAGACTAAAACTGGAACTTCCATATTATCCAGCAATCTGCATATATATCCAAAAGAAACTAAATCAGTATATCAAACAGGTATCTGCACTCCCATGACTATTGCAGAATTCGCAATAGCCAAAATATGGTTGGAATCAATCAACCAATGCATGAATGATAAAGAAAATGTGTTGACTGGGCACACTGGCTCACACCTGTAATCCCAACTACTTGGGAGGCTGAAGCAGGAGAATCGCTTGAATCTAGGAAGTGGAGGAGCTGGACATGGTGGCTCACACCTGTAATCCCAGCACTTTAGAAGGCTGAGGCAGGCATATTGAGCCCAGGAGTTCAAGACCAGCCTGGGCAACATGGTGAATCCCATCTTACAAAAAATACAAAAAAAATTACCTGAAGATGGTGGCAAATGCCTGTAGTCCCAGCTACCCAGGAGGTTGAGGTGGGAGGATCACCTGACTCCAGGAAGTCCAGGCTACAGTGAGTTGTGATGTCACCACTGTAATCCAGAGCAAGATCCTGTCTCAAAAAAAAAAAAAAAAAAAAAGAAGAAAAAGAAAATGTGCCATATATATATACACAATGAAATACTTTTTTTTTTTTTTTTTCAGAGATGGGGTCTCGCTATGTTGCCCAGGCTGGAGTGCAGTGGCTGTTCACAAGTGTGATCCCACTACTGATCAGCACGGGAGTTTTGACCTGCTCCGTTTCTGACCTGGACTGGTTCACCCCTCCTTAGGCAACCTGGTGGTCCCCCGCTCCTGGGAGGTCACCATATTGATGCTGAACTTAGTGCGGACACCCCATCGGCATAGCACACTACAGCCCAGAACTCCTGGACTCAAGCGATTCTCCAGTCTCAGCCTTCCGAGTAGCTGGGACTACAGGCACGTGCCACCGTTCCTGGCTACACAATGAAATATTATTCAGCTATTTCAGAATGAAATCCTGTCATCTGCAGCAACATGGTTGGAACTGGAAGTCATTATGTTAAGTGAAATAAACTGACACAGAAAGACAAACATCGCATGTTCTCACTCATGTGGGAGCTAAAAAATTTGGTCTTATGGAGGTAGTGAATAGAATGGTGGTTACCACAAAATGGGAAGGATAGTGGGGAAGAAGGCTAAAGAGGGATTGGTTAATGGGTACAAAAATATGGTTAGAGGCCGGGCATGGTGGCTCATGCCTGTAATCTCAGCACTTTGGGAGGCTGAGGAGGTCGGTTCACCTGAGGTCAGTTCAAGACCAGCCAGGCCAACATGGTGAAACCCTGTCTTCTAACAACAAAAAAAATATGGTTAGACAGGGCAACTATAGTTAATAACTTATTGTATATTTCAAAATAGAAGATTCAGAATGTACCCAACACAAACAATCATAAATATTTGAGGTGATGGATATACCAATTCCCCAGATTTGATCATTATACACTATATGCTTGTATCAAAATGTCACATGTACCCCATACATATGTACAACAATTACGTATCAATAAATTTATTTTATTGTATTTATTTATTTATTTATTTTTCTGAGACGGGGTTTTGCTCTTGTTACCCAGGCTGGAGTGCAATGGTGTGATCTTGGCTCACCGCAACCTCCGCCTCCTGGGTTCAAGCAATTCTCCTGACTCAGCCTCCCAAGTAGCTGGGACTACAGGTACATGCCACCATGCCCAGCTAATGTTTTTTTTGTATTTTTAGTAGAGACGGGGTTTCACCATGTTGACCAGGATGGTCTCGATCTCTTGACCTCGTGATCCACCCACCTTGGCCTCCCAAAGTGCTGGGATTATAGACGTGAGCCACCGCGCCCAGTCTATTTATTTTTGAGACAGAGTTTCGCTCTTGTTGCCCAGGCTGGAGTGCAATGGCACAATCTCGGCTCACTGCAACCTCCACCATCCAGGTTCAAGCGATTCTCCTGCCTCAGCCTCCCGAGTAGCTGGGATTACAGGCATGCGCCACCATATCTGGCTAATAATAAACTTTTTTAAAGGGAAAATCTCATAAAGAGGTGGTCTGACCAAGGGACAAGCTAGCCTCAGAGAACAGATGCTGCTCAGCACCCACTGTAAAATTTTCCTAAAAGGGTTCTGGCCACAGGATGGTGTCCACCCAAAACACAGTGGGGAGTCACTCTTTCATTCTGTATTATTATTATTTTTTTTTTTTTGAGACGGAGTTTCACTCATGTTACCCAGGCTGGAGTGCAATGGCGTGATCTCGGCTTACCGCAACCTCTGCCTCCTAGGTTCAGGCAATTCTCCTGCCTCAGCCTCCTGAGTAGCTGGGATTACAGGCACGCACCACCATGCCCAGCTAATTTTTTGTATTTTTAGTAGAGACGGGGTTTCACCATGTTGACCAGGATGGTCTCGATCTCTTGACCTCGTGATCCACCCGCCTCGGCCTCCCAAAGTGCTGGGATTACAGGCTTGAGCCACCGCGCCCGGCCTCATTCTGTATTTCTTATACTCCTCCTTGAGAGCATTCAGTGGCCCTCTATTGCCCCCAGAATAAAATCCAAACACTTCAGAAAGCCATGGCTGGTCCCTTGTGATCCAGTGCCCACATCCCCTCTCTGGCTTTATCTGCTATCTTCTTTTTCATTCTTTCTTTTTTTGAGATGGAGTTTCTCTCTGTTGCCAGGCTGCAGTATGTTGGCACGATCTTGGCTTACTGCAACCTCTGCCTCCCAGGTTCAAGCGATTTTCCTGCCTCAGCCTCCCAAGTAGCTGGGACTACACATGCGTGCCACCATGCCCAGCTAATTTTGTGTTTTTAGTAGAGAGGGCGGGTTCACCATATTGGCCAGGATGATCTTGATCTCTTGACCTCGTGATCCACCCGCCTCCGCCTCCCAAAATGCTGGGATTACAAGTATAAGACACCGTACCCAGCCTTATCTGCTATTTTCCTTTATGCTTCCTATATACCAGTCTAAGGGCTACTTACCACATTCCTCAAATGTGCCATGTACTCTCTCACTTCCAGCCTTCCACCTAGCAAGCTCCTTCATCCTGAGTGCCCTCTCCTTTGCCATTATCTCTGCCTGCCTGAGGCCCACATAACCAGCACTCAAGTGCTGTTCCACAATAAATACTTTTGTTCTTTTTTTTTTTTTTGAGACAGGGTCTGCCTCTGTAACCCAGTGCGATCTCAGCTCACTACACGCAACTTACACATCCTGGGCTCAGGTGATCCTCTCACCTCAGCCTCCTGAATAGCTGTGACTGCAAGTGTGCAACACCATGCCAGGCTAATTTTTGTATTTTTAGTAGAGACGGGGTTTCTCCATGTTGTCCAGCCTGGTCTCAAACTCCTGGGCTGAAGTAATCCACCTACCTCAGCCTCCCAAATAAATTAATTCTTTTTTTTTTTTCTTTCTTTTTTCTTTTTTTTTTTTTTTAGACAGAGTTTCGCTCTTGTTACCCAGGCTGGAGGCAATGGCGCGATCTCGGCTCACCGCAACCTCCGTCTCCTGGGTTCAGGCAATTCTCCTGCCTCAGCCTCCTGAGTAGCTGGGATTACAGGCACGCGCCACCATGCCCAGCTAATTTTTTGTATTTTTAGTAGAGACGGGGTTTCACCATGTTGACCAGGATGGTCTCGATCTCTTGACCTTGTGATCCACCCGCCTCGGCCTCCCAAAGTGCTGGGATTACAGGCTTGAGCCACCGCGCCCGGCCTCTTTTTTTTTTTTTTTTAATGGGGTTTCACCATGATGGCCAGGCGGGTGTTGAACTCCTGACCTCAGGTGATCCACCCACCTCAGCCTCCCAATGTGCTAGGATTACAGGCGTGAGCCACAGTGCCCGGCCCTAAATTAATTCTTATTGGTGTATGTCTCTGTCACTAAACTGTAAGCTCCTAGGGGGAAGAAACTTTTTTCCCCCCCCACTGGTCAACTTTCTTTCCACTAGGAAAAAATCTTTTCCTAGCACAGGGCAAGAAGTTTTCCTAGCACCAGACACAGCGGCTTATGCTTATAATCCCAGCACTTTGGGAGGCTGAGGCAGGAAGATCGTTTTAGCCCAGGAGTTTGAGAGCAGACTTTTTTTTTTTTTTTTTTCTTGATCTCTACAAGAAAAAAAATTAGGCGTGCGTGCTGCGGGAGCGGCTGCAACACCTGTGCCTGAGGAGCGATGCCGAGGGAAATCATCACCCTACAGTTGGGCCAGTGCAGCAATCAGATTGGGTTTGAGTTCTAGAAACAGCTGTGCACTGAGCATGGTATCAGCCCCGAGGGCATCGTGGAGGAGTTCACCACCGAGGGCACTGACCGCAAGGATGTCCTTTTCTACCAGGCAGACGACGAGCACTACATCCCCCGGGCTGTGCTGCTGGACCTGGAGCCCCGGGTGATCCACTCCATCCTCAACTCCCCCTATGCCAAGCTCTACAACCCAGAGAACATCCACCTGTCGGAGCATGGAGGAGGAGCTGGCAACAACTGGGCCAGTGGATTCTCCCAGGGAGAGAAGATCCACGAGGACGTTTTTGACATCATAGACCGGGAGGCAGATGGTAGTGACAGTCTAGAGGGCTTTGTGCTGTGTCACTCCATTGCTGGGGGGACAGGCTCTGGCCTGGGCTCCTACCTCTTAGAACGGCTGAATGACAGGTATCCAAAGAAACTGGTGCAGACATACTCAGTGTTTCCCAACCAGAACGAGATGAGCAACGTGGTGGTCCAGCCTTACAATTCACTCCTCACACTCAAGGGGCTGACGCAGAACGCAGACTGTGGTGGTGCTAGACAACACAGCCCTGAACCGGATTGCCACAGACCACCTGCACATCCAGAACCCGTCCTTCTCCCAGATCAACCAGCTGGTGTCCACCATCATGTCGGCCAGCACCACCATCCTGCGCTACCCCGGCTACATGAACAATGACCTCATTGGCCTCATCGCCTCACTCATCCCCACTCCGCGGCTCCACTTCCTCATGACCGGCTATACCCCACTCACTACGGACCAGTCAGTGGCCAGCGTGAGAAAGACCACGGTCCTGGATGTCATGAGGCGGCTCCTGCAGCCCAAGAATGTGATGGTGTCCACAGGCCGAGACCGCCAGACCAACCACTGCTACATCGCCATCCTCAACATCATCCAGGGAGAGGTGGACCCCACCCAGGTCCACAAGAGCCTGCAGAGAATCCAGGAACGGAAGTTGGCCAACTTCATCCCATGGGGCCCCGCCAGCATCCAGGTGGCCCTGTCAAGAAAGTCTCCCTACCTGCCCTCAGCCCACCGGGTCAGCGGGCTCATGATGGCCAACCACACCAGCATCTCCTCGCTCTTTGAGAGAACCTGTCGCCAATATGACAAGTTGCGGAAGCGGCAGGCCTTCCTCCAGCAGTTCCGCAAGGAGGACATGTTCAAGGAAAACTTTGATGAGATGGACACATCCAGGGAGATTGTGCAGCAGCTCATTGATGAGTACTATGCAGCCACACGGCCAGACTACATCTCCTGGGGCACCTAGGAGCAGTGAGTCCCCCAGGACAGGGACCCTCATCTGCCTTACTGGTTGGCCCAGGCCCTGCCTGACTGACCACCTCCTCAGAGCACAGATCAGGGACCTCATGCATCTCTTTCTCATACACGTGCATTCTCTGTTGGCCTGCGAACACATTTGTTCTCCTCTTATAAAACTATTTATCGGCCGGGCGCGGTGGCTCACACCTGTAATCCCAGCACTTTGGGAGGCAGAGGCGGGTGGATCACGAGGTCAAGAGATCGAGACCATCCTGGTCAACATGGTGAAACCCCGTCTCTACTAAAACTACAAAAAATTAGCTGGGCATGGTGGCGCGTGCCTGTAATCCCAGCTACTAAGGAGGCTGAGGCAGGAGAATTGCCTGAACCCAGGAGGCTGAGGTTGCGGTGAGCCGAGATCACGCCATTGCACTCCAGCCTGGGTAACAAGAGCGAAACTCCGTCTCAAAAAAAAAAAAAAAAAAAAAAAAAAAACCCAACTATTTATCTTTAATAAAGCACTGGATATAAAAAAAAAAAATTAGCCAGGCATGGTGGCGTGTGCCTGTAGTCCCAGCTACTGGGAGGCTAGGGTGGCAGAATTGCTTAAGTCCAGAAGGTTGAGGCTGCAGTGAGCTAGGATCACTCCACTGTGCTCCTGCCTGGGTGACAAAGTGAAATCCTGTCTCAAAAAAAAAAACCAAAAAACAAAAAAACCAATTTTCTCATCTATCTCCATAACCAAATACCTTTATTTGTTTAACAAATATATTTGCAATTAAATGCCTGCTACGTAAAGGGACTATGCTAGGTATTGGGGATACAAAAATGAATACAACAAACTTACAAGCCTTCAAAGACTTTAGTATTTAGTGGAGGAAACTGACAGCATCCCCCTTAATAGAATGCATAAGAGAATGTAACTACTGCATAAAAAGGTAGAGAAAAGTGCTCTGCCATTCGGAGGAGAGAGGGCATTTGGGTGAGGATACCAAATAAACCTTCCTGGAAGAAGGCATCAGAGTTGGAGCTAGAGGAGGATTTTAATTGGTAAAGATCAGTTGTTGAGAAAGCAGAGAACAAAGCATGAGTAAATGCACAGGGGCAGGGAAATACATGGTGAATCTGAATAATCTTTAGCCTTAAATGCCAGGCTAAAAAATTGGGGGAGACAGGATATGGTGGCTGACACTTATATCCTAGGACTTTGGAAGCCTGAGGCAGGAGAATTTCTTGAGCCCAGGAGGTTGAGGCTGTAGTAAGCCATGCTCACACCACTGAACTCCAGCATGGGCGACAGAGTAAGGAAAGGAAGGGCTCAGGTTTTTTTAGTAATACACAACATATACATGTACAGCACGTACAGACCATATACAGCTCCAACCACATCTGTTTAGAACATACACTTCTCATATAACCCTCACAGCCCCACAGCCCCTTTGAGCCCTCACTGACAGCCTACCTTTTTTTTTTTTTTACTTTTTCTGTGGTTGCAAAGCTGATGGTTTTCCTGAGTTGCAGGGCCCAAGATGCAGATGACTTCATCACTCTCTCTTCCTGAGAGATAAGGCTTACTGCATACATGCCAAAGTAGAGGCTCCTCTCCTTAGCATGAGAGCAGGCACCTGCTCCTGGGAAACTTCTTCATGTCCCTCTCTGCACCCCAAGCCCCATCCATCTCTCAGATAACACCAGAAGACTCCACCCTGACTGTTCAGGTTCTCCTGGGTGACATCCCTGGTACCCTGATACCTGGCTCCCCCTCCTCACTCGCTCCTCCTCCAGGCAAGGGTCATCCTCAGGTGCAAGATGCTGCCAGCATTTCCCATTTTGGCTTGGACTGTCATTCCCCCCAGAATTCATTCCTTACACTGTTCCCTAATAAAATCCATCTCAAAAACTCTAGATTCCTTCCCAGCCACTTCTTAACCCAGGAAATAAGTAGAAGCTGTGCCCTTTGTCTCCCTCTTTCCCTGGCTGGGATTTGGGCCTCGAGCTTCCAATCCCACTGAGAAGTTCCAAAGCAAAGACTGTCACCAGAATATAAGTGGCTTCCAAACTGAGGGCCCCGAAAATCAGTGCTGCAGAAGGAATACCAAGGCCCCTCCAAGCCAGACAGTCACTAGTGGCACCCACAAGCAGAAGCTCTCTCTTGTCTAATCACAGCAGGAGGGGACCATGGAAAGTTGTGATGGCCTTTCCTCTGACACCTTGGGTAGCAAGAACAGTGATGGTCATGGCTGGACAGAGATGAGTGGGCAGCTGATGGAGAGGGGACACTGGCGTGGGGGTCAGGAGACATGTATTCTTACCCCAGCTTTGTCATGGGCCCCTGGGTAACATTGTGACAGCTGCATTCCTTCTGTAGCCTCAGCACCCTTGACTATAAACATAAAAAGGTCTCTCTTGGCTGGGAGCGGTGGCTCATGCCTGTAATCCCAGCAATTTGGGAGGCTGAGGTGGGTGAATCGCTTGAGGTCAGGAGTTCAAGACCAGCCTGGCCAACATGGTGAAATCTCATCTGTACTAAAAATATAAAAATTAGCTGGGCATGGTAGTGGGCACCTGTAATACCAGCTACTCACAAGGCTGAGGCACAAGCATTGAACCCAGGAGGCAGAGGTTGCAGTGAATTGAGACAGTGCCACTGCATTCTAGTCTGGGTGACAGAGTGAGACTCCATCTCCAAAGGAAAAAAAAGGTCTCTCTCTTCCGGCTGTAATGTCCAAGGAGGCTTGGGAAGTGGCAAGTCCAACTTCCACATACACCTTTATTTTTACAATGCTCAGGACTCAGAGGCAACGCTGTCCCGTTTTGGGAGGTGATTAGGGCTGCTCCTGAGATAAGGGAGAAATGGCAACAGGAAACCTATGCCTGCCATCCTCTTGTCCCCCATATTACTTCCAAAACAGGGTCCCAAATACCCAGTACACTGGTGGGTGTTTATTAAATTTGTTAATAAAAACTACCTTGGGTTGGGCGTGGTGGCTCACACCTGTAATCCCAGCACTTTCGGAGGCCAAGGTGGGCAGATCACTTGAGGTCAAGAGTTCGAGGCCAGCCTGGCTAACATGCTGAAACCCTCTCTACTAAAATGCAAAAATTAGTCAGGTGTGGTGGTGGGTGCGTGTAATCCCAGCTACTAGGGAGGCTGAGGCAGGAGAATCACTTGAACTGTGGAGGCAGAGGTTGCAGTGAGCCAAGACTGTGCCACTGCACTCCAGCCGGGGTGACAGAGCAAGACTCCCTCTCAAACAAAACAAAACAAAAATCTATCTTGGCCTGATACAGTGGCTGATATCTGTAATTCCAGCACTTTAGCAGGCCTAAGCGGGAGGATTATTTGAGACCAGAGTTCAAGACAAAAAATTAAAAAATTAGGTTCTGCTGGACAAGGGGGCTCTCTGCCCTGTTCTTTGAGCCAGCTCAGAGGACACTGCCCTGAAAAGGCAGCCCTACTCATTTCTGTAGGGTGCTAGAAGGGGTTCTGGCTGGGATTCTATTAAGAGGAGCAAAGGAAAGCTCCTCAGACACCCAGGAGGGAGCTCAGGCTGTGGGGGGGCCAGTGCAGATGTGGGGAAAGCACACTGGGTCCTTCACTTGCTTGTAGCTATGGTGGCATTTACAAGCATTCTCTCGGGGCATTTTCACCCCAACCAGAAGAGGAAAGAAGAGCAAGAACTTTGACATTTTACTGGTAAGATTGCCAAAGCACAAAAAATTTAATTGCTCCAGGCCACACGGCAGAAAAGTGGCCAGGTGGATTTCAAATTCTCCACTCTGTACCTCTGACTTCCTGTCTCACAGCCTGGAAGGATAGTAAGAAAGTACTTAGCCCTTTGCTTCCTGGATATCAAAGGGTAAACGTAATAAATGCTTCCTAGCTCCCTCCCCTGCCCAGGGCTCCAGGAAGCTCCGCTGGCTCACAGGGCTACTTCAGGGCTCTATCTAATTAGCCTCCCTCTCCCTGGTGCTGTATTAGCCTTGCATGGCCTATGGGTATACAGGGCTAAGCTCTGCCTTTTGTACAAACACACTTGCAGCGTCAGGCTCTCTCAAAGGACAGTTTCACTGAGCTCATTCGCCAGTTTTAGCCACAGAAGGGATGGAAGTCTTGGAGAGATCCTCACAGCCTTGGCCTTCCTTTACCCACTGAATCAGAGGTAGACCACCAGCCCCTGACACCTGCCCCTGCCTCACTTATGCTGCAGGGCCTCTCAGGAACCCTGCCCAGCCCACAGGGCAGACATTAGTCACACAGTAGACATTAGTGCTCAGAGCAGAGAAGGGAAGTTCTCTTCGCCCCTTGTAGTGTTTCAGTGGTGGTGACTCAGGGTCTAGAACTTCCCAACCACCCTAGTTCTTTCTTCTCTGCACCATATACCATGGCCTTCACAACAAGCCTGTCACTGTGGGTGTGGTTCTCCCTCTAGTCTCTGACTTCTGGGTTTTTTCCACTGTACCAGAGCTGCTTCCAACAGCCCTTGCTTGGAGTTGGCAGCTCTGTAGTTTGGTCTCACTCTGCAGGAGGCCACACCCAGTCTTTAAAGCTACAGGGGCAGCTGAAAGCTACCTCAGTGGGGAACTCCCAGCCTCGGCTTCCTCTCCAGTTGTCTTTTGGCTGCAAACTCATGATGTCACAGACAATCCCCGACTCGACCCCCACCACAAGCTAGTTCTCAAGCACCGAAATTCCTCCTCTTTCCTAAGGAAGGCTGCCTGTCAACCACAGATGGGTATAGGCTGTGCCAACATCTCCATGGTAACCATGGGCCGCAGCTGCTTGCCTTGATCCAGAGCTTGCACCCGTGACAGGGCTCCCTTGCAAGGAGGGCGGGCTGTCACAGTAGACCCATTACACATCTCACTGTCATCCTTGCATGGGACAGCTTAGGGAGGCAGCACAGCTGGTGCACCATCAGGAGTTCTTTGAGGAAGGTCTGAAAGGGGACAGGCGGAGAAGGTCCTCTCTTCTTTGTGTAATCGATTTTTCAGGGTAGGCTATGGGGCTCCAAT